CCCTCCCTCCCTCCTTCCCTCCCTCTTCCTCTCTCCCCTCTTCTGGGACCCCTGTTACTTCGCTTTATGGTATCGCTGATTTCTCGAATCCTCCCTTCATGATCCAGTAGTTGTTTTTTCTCTCTTTTTCTCAGGTTCTGTATTTTCCATCATTTTGTCTTTTATATCACTGACTCTTCTGCCTTTTTTATCCTTAGCAGTTAGAGCCTCCATTTTTGACTGCATCTCAGGAATAGCATTTTTAATTTTGGCCTGATTAGATTCTAGTTCTTTTATTTCTCCAGTGAGGGATTCTCCTACTCTTTTTTCAAGCCCAACTAGTATCATTATAATCATTCTGAATTCTAGTTCTGACATCTTACTTATATCCATATTGATTAAATCCCTGATAGTGAGTACTGCCTCCTGTTCTTTCTTTTGGGGTGAGTTTCTCTGTCTTCATTATGTCCAGAAAAGATTAGATGAAAGAGAAAGAAAAGACAAAAATAGCAAAAACAACACCAGAAAAATACAAACAAAACAAATCAGAAGTAAAGAGAAACAAAACAAAATAAAAAATGAAGTAAAACAGAACAAAACAGTAAATTAGATCCTGGGTTTATTGTGGTTTGTTTATTTAAAAAAAAAAAAAAAAAACTAGATCCCAAATTAGGAAAGTAAGAAAAACATATATATACAAAAATAAAATACAATGAAAGGAAACCAAAAATAAAATATATATGTATACATAATGTAAATATAAACATAAAAGTTAAAAAAGACTTAAAAAAGAATTGATTAAATAAGGAAATAGCTGGAAACAATAATAGAACTGAAAGACTAAAGAATTAAAAAAAAAAAAAACCCACAAATGCTATATACTGTTTTCTCTAGAGCTGAAGTTTTGCAATTCTCTGTGATCGGTAACCTTGGTGTTAGCTGGTTGTTCCTGTTGGTCTTCTGGGGGAGGGGCCTGTTGCACTGATTCTCAGGTGTTCTTGCTGTGGTGGAATTGTCCCTCCCTTGCGAGGAGGCCTGTCTCAGTGTAAGCGGCTCCCAGATTGCACTGTGTTTTGCTCCCTGCAGGCTTTCATCACCAATGGGGGGATAAAAATTGCAGCACCCCGATCTCTAGCCTGGAGTTGAACGTTCGCACCTCCCATTTTTCAGTGAGCCCTCACAGAAAATCAGTCAATCACTCTTGTTTCCCTGGTTTCCGTCTGAACTCTGTATTCACTCAGCCTATGACTGAGTGTTTTTCTCTCAGGTACATGACCCTGTTTTGAGTCTCCAAACTTTACAGACTCCTGTGGTGCAGACCCGTGCCATTCCTCCCAGGGGAAGGAGGGGCATCTTGGCATGCTTCTGCCTTTTGCTGGGCCCTCTCCTGGAGAGCAGTTACCAGACAGTGCAGTGGTTCTGCAGTGGTTCATGGTTTATGGCAACATCGAGCAGAAAGCCGCCTCCTCGGGACACCTGGGTGGCTCAATCCCTTAGGCATCTGCCTTCGGCTCAGGTCATGATCCCAGGGTCCTGGGATCGAGTGCTGCATCAGGCTCCTTGCTGAGTGGGGAGCCTGCTTCTCCCTCTGCCTGCAGCTCCCTCTGCTTGTGCAGTCTCTCTCTCTCTCAAATAAATAAAATCTTAAAATAAAAAAAAGAAAAGAAAAGAAAGCTGGCTCCTAAGCTTGCTGTTTGCAGCCGGCTTCCTTGCTCTGATGCCTGGGAACTCTGTCGCAGTCAGGCACCCCCATTCTTTTTGTGACCCCGGGAATCCTGAGACCACCCTTTCCCATCTGGGATTCTGTCCCGCTTCACCACTTGAGCACCTTTAAGGCAGGGATGTTCCCCACTGGAGCAAACTTCTTAAAGTTCCGATTTTGCCTTCCACTGCTTGTAATACTTTCTGGTAGCTGGATTAAGGCAGCTCCCTCCTCGCTTTGGTTTTATCTTCCAATATATTGCCCTGGGTTCACATTTCCTCATCTACCTTGCAAAAAGTGGTCTCTTTCCTATTTGTAGAATTACAGCAATTCTTTTCTCAGATCTCTGGTTGATTTCTCTGGTGTTCAGAATGATTTGTTAACTATTGAGCTGAATTCCAGGAACCAGATGAAATTAGGGTCCCCTACTCCTCTGTCATCTTAACTCCTTCTGGCCACATGAAGTTTTGTCTTTTTCTTTTTCTTTTTTAAAGATTTTATTTATTTATTTGACAGAGAGAGAGACAGCGAGAGAGGGAATACAAGCAGGGGGAGTGGGAGAGGGAGAAGTAGGCTTCCCACAGAGCAGGAAGCCCGATGCGGGGCTCGATCCCAGGACCCTAGGATCATGACCTGAGCCGAAGGCAGACGCTTAGCGACTGAGCCACCCAGGCAACAAGAAGTTTTAAATAGGACTTATCTTATATGAGATCTAGAGTAGTTAGTGAAATAAAAGCTGAACTTGAGCTAGCTATGAAATGTAATGGTGGATGCTAACCTATTAGAATATAGAAGATGGGTAGTAATCAAGTAGGTTTTATATTTTTTTTATTATTTTAAACCACGTATAATACAAATGTTACCATTTTAACCAGTTTTAACTCTACAGTTTATCAAGTAACTTTTTATTTTATTTTTTAATTTTATTATGTTATGTCACCATACAATACATCATTAGTCAAGCAAATTTTTAAATTACAGTGTGAATCCCACCATTATGCCACATTGTAGTTCTTAGTAGAACTAGGTACCTGTCTGCCCTCTTGTTTCCTGACTTAGTGGAAAATCTCCTTGTTCAGAGCTTAACCCTTTTCCTGTGTTCTGCATCCCATACCCATTGGCTCTATCAGTCATGACTTCTTGCATCTGTATTTTTTTTTTTTACAGCTTTTTAAAAAGATTTTATTTATTTGACAGAGAGAGAGAGAGCACAAGCAGGGGGAGTGGCAGGCAGAGGGAGAGGGAGAAGCAGGCTCCCCGCTGAGCAGGGAACCCGATGCAGGGCTCCATCCCAGGACCCTGAGATCACAACCTGAGCCAAAGGCAGACGCTTAACTGACTGAGCCATCCAGGTGTCCCTTGCACCTGTATTTTTTAAAATTAAGATTTTTTAAGAGCAGCTTAAGGTTCACGGAAGAATTATGGGGCAGATATGGAGATTTCCCTTATACCCTTTGCCCCCACACATGGGTAGCCTCTCCCGTTATCAACATTCCCCACCAGAGTAGTACATTTGTTACAGTTGATGAACTTGTATTGACATATCATAATGACCAAAAGTATATAGTTTATATCAGTATTCACTCTTGTTCTTGTATATTCTCTTGGCTTAGACAAATATGTGATGATAAGTATCCATCAGTATGGTATCATAAAGAGTATTTTCACTGTCCTAATAATCCTCCATACTCTGCCAGTTCATCCCTCCCCCCAACCCTTGGTAACCACTGAATTTTTTACCATTTCGGTGTTTTGCCCTTTCTAGAATGTCATATAGTTAGAATCATACAGTATGTAGAATTTTCAGGTTGACTTCTTTCACTGACTAATAGTACTTAAAGTTTCTCCATGTCTTTTCATGA